CGTGGATAGAATGGAAACGTGGCTACCCAAGCGATGAAGAAACAGGCGTCTTCGATGATACCAGAGAAGATGAGTGCGGGCCCACCGAATCCAAATTCCCGGATCATGGGTGCAGACAGGCTCCCAGGACGGTAGTTCCCAAACTCTCGCCCTGAGTAGGTGAGGATGGTTTGGGGTTCGTGTGTTGAAGGAAAGGTAATAGCAACCGAGCCCAGTGGTTACCCCAGAGGTATGGAGCGAAAGTACCAAACAGCCATGTTGTAGAAAACCGTAAGTCTTGGTGAGCATGACCTAGAGCAGCGACGGTGATGGCGATACCGAGATCACTCAACAAAATCAATTTGGCATCCTTGGCTTCATAAAGAGGGCTGGATGGGTTGAAGTGACTGACAGTCCAGAAGCTGTTAACTTTTCCTTTTCCACGACCTTCATGTTGACCCTCGTGATAGTTGTGGCCGGTGACGTTCATGAACAAATAAAGAGGCCAGCCGAAAAAGTTGTTGGCCGATGGAGTGGATGAGAGTCGCAATTGGAGTTTCTTCGGTGAGCTCGTGAAGTTCGTGAACGAATTTTCCGAGGCGGTTAGCATAATCTTGACGAGTCTTGGGAACGAAAACCATATCACGCTCCATGTTGCCAGTTGCCTTGTGGTGCTTGCCGTGGGAGATCTTCCATGAGAAATATGGGACAAGGAGAGCAGAGTGACATATCCATCCAGTTGTGTCGTTCAAAACCTTTGAAGGTGAGAAAGATTGGTGGCCACATTCATGAGCCAAGACCCAGAGACCAGTGCCAAATAAGCCCTGAACGATGGTGTATAGAGCCCACAACACAGCGCGAACTGGGGTCGAGGGAACATTTTCTGGTGTGAGGTATTTGTTGAAAAGGAAGAAGGTAGTTGCCAAGCTGGCAATATCACGAGCCACATAAGCCAGACCTCGTGCTCCAGAGCGCTCGTAACAATGCTTAGGAATTGCGTTTCGGATATCATTGACAGTATAATCTGGAAGTTCGAATTCATTTCCGTAAGTATCGATGAGCTTGCCGTATCCAGTTGCCTTGGTCTTATTGATCTCATCGCCTAGGGATGACATGGACGACAAAGAGGTAGACGAAGGAGACTGTCTAGGGGTATCATTTGGTGAGCCGACAGCTGTCGAAGGAGAGGATTCGGCAGTGGAAGAGGTAACCGTCCTTTGAAGGACGGTAGGCTTTGGTAGAGCAGTAGTAGAGGCCATTGTGTTGTGAATTTTGTAGACTCAAACTCTAAAAGGAAAAGAATGAAAGTTCGAAGGTAATTATCACTTCGAAAATCGATTTAAGAATGAAGGACACAATGAAGTCGAGTATGGAGAGTGAATTGGCCAAATTTGTTGAGATATTGGCGGGATATCAATTAAAGAAGGCCCAACGATAAATTCTATTACCGAGTGATGCTGTCAGTTTCTGAAAGCCTCGAATTGAATAGAATATTAGAAAAATATACTTACGAGCTCCTGTACACACTCTTCAAGAGGCGTATTAAGATTGTAGAGAGGTTGAGGAGAGATAAATGAGGGGGAAGGTTGGACTTTTAAATGGAGGGGAGTGACTTAGGAGAAGGGATGGAGGGATGAATTGAGTGAGTGGTGGAGCCCTAAAAAAAAGAAAAAGAAGAAATGTTTCCCGTAGGCTGGCTGTAGACTGACTGACTGACTGTGGGTGTTAAGGTAGTGTTACTGCAGGTTGACAAGGATTTTAGTGTCTTATTTTAGTGCATTACTAGGTATACCTACCTACTCTGTGCTTCTGTAGTAAGGTTGATCTGGGTAAGAGCCAAGAAGGAACCAACCAAACTTTTAGAAATGCATATGATTCGGAGTGTAGTAAGTACATGGAGGTACTCCAATCAAGGATAAGAAATAACTCACTAGAAAATATTCAGGAAGAGCATGCTACGATAGACATGTCCTGCAACTGTATCAAATGAATATCTTTGGAGTCTTCACCAAACTTCCAGCTTCGTTGTCAGAGGAAGATCGTGTTCAAAAGGCTCCACCATTCTCCATCTATATCATGTGCATTTTATACCAACCGTGCTATAGTACCAGTGAGTACTTTCCAATCCCAATTCCATCATGTTTACAAAGAGCCATCTACCCATCGGTACACTCCTCCTCCATACAATATGGATAGGTAAAGCAGGGACCATTCAAATTGGAAACATCGAGAGTCCAATTATCTTAATTCGATTGCCACCACAAGTCACAAAGTCGTTAAAAAACGGGTAAAGGGACGAAGATCTTATCATGATTTTTCTATCTGATGGTGGGGTTTCCAATCTATTCTCAAGAGTCAATGCTGTTTTGTTGTTGAATTTGGGTGGAGATCAATCATAGATCCCGAACCTTTATTCGATATGTTTATCAAAACGAAAGCAAATCCCGAGAACAGCAAGCTTACGCTATTGCAATAGAGAATTGCCCAATATTAACTCTTTAACTTTCTTGAAGTGAGTGACTGTCTGGTGACATTTCGTACCACCATCTACAAAGCTACAACAATCTTTCCTCCTGCCGCCCCTCGTTCTGTCCCGCCTTCTCAGAAAACGGACATTCCGATTGATTTGAAGCTCACGCCACCATCTCTCGAATCTGTCGTGGAGAACCCTTGACAAGTCTGTTTCAGGAAGCTCCAGAACCATAGGGTAGATACCTTAGCCTAGTATCGCTGAGAAGGGATTCAAGAGAATTCTTCGGTGGGGACTCGAACAAGATGGATGTTGAGGGGCTTCACCGCTAGAGTACTTCTGGACAATTCACAGTCCAATGGTTCGGTGGCTCAGCATAGCAGGTTCATGTTTTACAATGTTCAGCTTGGTGTGAGAAAAGCCCAAATATACAAAAACCCCCCGTACATAAGAACTATTCGACTTCATAGGCTCATCTGTCTATCAAATTCAGCCTGTTTTTAATGTGCTCAGACAACCACATTCGCGCAAAACTCCCGGAATGAACTCTAAGGGTAAAGTGAGTAGGCCTACTTCACTTGGGCACTAATAATCTTATGGAAGGAATATCACATCTGATCCAACGGCGAGGGTTTGTGGTTACCATCATGACTTTTGCCCACGACTGGAAGTTTACTTGATGTTCACATTGACCAATCAAGTCATCACCATATAGAATTTATCCTTGCACATTATGCATGGCATTGCAGAAAGGGTCCCATACTAAACTGAATTAATCAATTTACCCGAAAGATTTCCCCAACAATTCTGATTGTCGTTTTTTGTTGGGGTGGGACGCACCGTGTGAAAAGCCAAAAGATCGCTACAAGGGTTCTTCTAACTTCTAATCTCACGCGAGATAGCACCGAATTATTTTGAATTTGCAAAGATATCCCGAAATTTATCGTTTCATGATCACCATCCAAACCAATGTATCCCAACCTCGGTTTCTACTCTTCTATTCTGCTTACATTGCTCTAGGAAAAACATGTGCAAAAGAAATATACTTTTCCCGTGCCTGATCTGCATTATTATCAAATCATCCAATTTGGAATCTTTGAAAGAGGATCCATATTTCTTGGTGGTTGGACAATCCCCTGAGATAGAAATTCGGTTATCACCCAAGGCGAAATCTCTTTTGCCACTCATGGGCTGGTGGGTCTGGCCAACCAACCAATCTGTCAAGACAAATGAGAGAAACCTTGTTCTCGGATCTATTCTGCCCATGTTTCACTAAAGGCTGCCACGGAGGGGATTGGTATCGAGCTGGCCTTGCAACTTACCTCGAGCTTACTTCAAGTCTTCAACACTACATGCATAACCATTTTTCACGTGGAGGAGTCTACTGCTTGCTGCATCGGTAAACTTTCAATGCTACATTCCCTCGACAAACAGTTGGGTGTATATGCTTGGAAAACAATTCGAACAAATTGTATGCTCCGACTTCCCATATGCTGTAAGGATGTACACAAAAACCAAGCCTCCCAGATCTTCGGGTCATGTAGGTTTTACGTATGCAACTTTCGGAACTATATCCAAGGTGTATCGAAGGTTTTCTTTTAATATGTTAAAGAGTTGGTGTGTCATACACCAATTTCCAATGTTTTGAAACGCCATTTCCCATGCAGTCATTCCCAATATGGTGTTTGTACAACGAGTAGTCTTTCTACAAGGCTGAGATTGTGCCAAATAATCTTTATTATCATATCTATTTTGGCCATTTCTTCCATCCACGACCATGACCTCTCTGCGAAGATGAATTAGTAGTTGAACATAAAGTTGAGTTGATGTGGAAAGGCAAACCTCTTTCCATGTCTGGATCATCTGTGGCATCTCTAACATAGCCTTTCTTCTCTTCTCCAATCTGTTGAAAACCATGAATCAGTATATGTGCCAAATAATGCAAGACCACAATCATCAAGCAATCCATCAAATGCAATGATTCAAACATACCTCGCCTTTAATGTTCTCTCTGATTCCTTTCCCTTGACTCTCTGTCCAACACCTGTACCCTTTACCCTCAGTCCATTCTCCATTCTCTTGCGTAATTTCTCTTCTGTGCTCTTTACAGAGAGCGGCAAAAGTTCCTCCACTCCATGTTGTCGTGCAAGCTTGCACAAATCTGCCTGTCGTCTCAAGGAAAATACTGGGTCATGCCATTTTCCAGTGACTGGATGCTTATGGGGCTTAAATGGCGATGTCGCTTCTGTCACTGCTGGGCGTATAGCTGTATCCAAATCTTCCCCCGCGCTCAATCCAGTCTCCTTGACAGCTTCTGACGCCGCCGCATCGGAAGTCGTATTGACAGCATTAACCTGTGGAAGAATGGCCTGTGGAGGATAACGGGCAAAAAACCTTTGAAGCTGCGGCGGCAGCGACTTCGCGAGCTTCACGTATTGCCTGGGCTTAAGCATCTTGTTTATCGCTGAAGGCTGAGATTTTACGATGATGTTGATGTCGAGATAAAATTCATGATTGGTGATTATGTAAGCCGAGGGCTTTTGTCTGCCTCGACTCTCAGCCTTGCCTCTTCCCAAAAACATTCATCTCAAAAGTTATTTACATTGCGCCAACTCTTCTGCAGATTTTAACTTCCGGAAATCTGTAAAATAATAGACATTATCTGATTTGGAGATACCATATCCCTCTTCTACATTGTCAATCATGGCTTCAAATGGATATTTAAATAGTATTGATGCAGTACCACCGCCTCTCATAGATAGTGATGGAAGACCACCATCTCCTCCACCTCCACCTCCAGATTCATTCGTCCCTCCACCACCTCCAAGCTCATTAGCTCCACCTCCTCCCCCTTCTAGTGATCTTCCACCACCGCCTCCATCGGAACTACAGCCTCCTCCCCCGGAACCCAAAAAGAAGAAAGGTTGGGGAGCTCCAAAGCCAGGTCCGCTGAGTATTGAGGACATTTTAAAGAAAAAGAAAGAGGCAGATGAGGCCGCAGCCAAGGTATGTAATCTTTCCCTTTCACATAAAGTTGGCAGCCATGTTCACAATGCATGTCTAGAATTTCCTCGCACCAGTACTAATTATTTGAAATTACAGCCTAAATTTCTATCAAAAGCTGCCCGAGAGAAGCTCGCTCTCGAAAAAAGAGCAAAAGAGGTCGAAGAACAGAGGCGCAAGCGCGAATCAGAGCAAGATAACCGCATACCTGTTGGAACTGTGAATGGGAATGGATATGGGGCTGCGAATGGACGAGATGGTTATGAGCGGTCGCATCAGCAGGATAATGCGCGTCGAGATTCTTCCTTTGTGCCCACTGGACCTCGAGCCATGCGGAATGGCCAACAAAATCGACCTTCTAGTGACAAGCCGAATGACATGGAGCCGCCACCTAAATCAGCCAAACCAGCTACTACTGCTGCAGGTTCGAGTAAAGCTTCAGTGGCTGGTGAGAAACGTCCTGCGAATGCGGAGGATTTGCAAGCTGCTCTCATAAGAACGCGATACATGGGTGCCGAAACGAATCAATCAACGTTTTCCGCAAAGAAGAAACGCAGGAGGACAACCGAGAAGAAATTTAACTTTGAGTGGAATGCTGAGGAGGATACTAGTCCAGATTATAATCCTATTTACCAAAATCGTGCGGAAGCAGGTTTATATGGGCGAGGTAGATTGGCTGGTTTTGCAGAAGATGAAGCAGCAACTTTGAAATATGCGAAAGCTCTAGAAGAACGAGATATAGAGGCTGGAAGTGCGCGTGCACGAGAAATTGTGGAAATGGAGAGGCGGAGGAAAGAAGATGCCGGCAGGAACTCACTTGACAAACATTGGAGTGAGAAGAAATTGGAACATATGCGAGAACGTGATTGGCGTATTTTCAAGGAGGATTTCAATATCAGTACAAAAGGAGGGGCAATTCCCAATCCTATGCGAAGTTGGTCGGAGTCCAAGTTACCAAAACGTCTTTTGGATGTTATCAATCAAGTTGGTTATGACGAGCCATCGGCAGTACAGAGAGCTGCTATTCCTATAGCGCTACAAGCTAGAGATTTGATTGGTGTTGCCGTTACTGGTTCAGGTAAAACTGCGGCTTTCTTACTGCCATTACTGGTCTATATCTCTGAATTACCTCCACTGAACGAATTCACGAAAAACGATGGACCATACGCTATCATTCTCGCACCTACCCGTGAATTGGCACAACAAATTGAGGTTGAAGCCAAGAAATTTGCAACACCACTTGGATTCACTTGTGTTAGTATCGTTGGTGGACATTCTTTGGAAGAACAATCTTACAACCTTCGCAATGGTGCTGAAATCATCATTGCTACACCTGGTCGTCTAGTTGATTGTATTGAAAGACGAGTTCTGGTCTTAGGTCAATGTTGTTATATCATCATGGATGAAGCAGATCGTATGATAGATCTAGGTTTCGAAGAATCCGTCAACAAAATCTTAGATGCACTTCCAGTCAGTAATGAAAAGCCAGATACAGATGACGCAGAAGATGCCCAGGCTATGAGTAGACATCTAGGAGGCAAGGATCGTTATCGTCAAACTATGATGTACACAGCCACTATGCCTCCAGCCGTCGAAAAAATCGCCAAAAAGTATCTTCGTCGTCCAGCCATCGTTACCATTGGTAACATTGGTGAAGCAGTCGAAACCGTTGAACAACGTGTTGAATTTGTCGCCGGTGAAGATAAACGTAAGAAGCGTCTTAATGAAATCCTCGCCTCGGGTGAATTTCAACCTCCCATCATCGTCTTTGTCAACATCAAACGTAACTGCGATGCCGTGGCTCGCGATATCAAACATATGGGCTTCACATCCGTCACACTTCACGGATCCAAAACTCAAGAACAGCGTGAAGCGGCTCTGGCTTCCGTTCGCTCGGGCGCTACTAACGTCCTCGTCGCAACGGATCTCGCTGGTCGTGGTATCGATGTTCCGGATGTTTCCTTGGTCGTCAACTTTAACATGGCCACTAATATCGAGAGTTACACGCATCGTATTGGTCGTACGGGAAGAGCCGGGAAAAGTGGTGTCGCGATTACTTTCTTGGGTAATGAGGATGCGGATACCATGTATGATTTGAAACAGATGTTGATGAAGAGTAGTATTAGTAGGGTACCGGAAGAGTTGAGGAAACATGAGGCGGCGCAGCAGAAGAGTCAGAGGGGTCAGGGCTTGAAGAAAATTGAGGAGGGGGGTTTTGGTGGGAAGGGTGGTGCGGGGGGTTGGTAGGTTTTGTTGTTGTTGTTCCGGTCGTGGTTGTAGTTGTAGTTAGTAGTCGAGAGGTAGGAGAAGGGAATAAGAATCTCGGAAGATATATTAATGCAAATAAATACAAATTCAAATCTCTCTCCGTTGAATCTTTAGCCAAGATATCAGAGCTAGTTGAGAATAATCGATTTTATTATTTTGATGTAATTATATCAAATTAGATTCCTCTCATCGACTCGAGTAATAGAAAAATATCATGAATAGTACCTACCTACCTACCTAATACATAGCTAATAATTACATACCCAACTCAAAACAAGAATAAGACCTAATAAATAGGAAAGTAAGTGAACAATCAAGTCAAAAACTTGGGAATCAAGTTATAGTTATAATTCTCCTTTTAGCTGTAATTAGGTATAGAGAGTAAGTGATCTTAATTTGTGTAAAGAGATTTTTTGGGGGGTGGGATGGGAGATGAGATGGGAGATAGGAAAGGGGATGGGATGGGATGGGATGTTTATGAGGGAAATAGGATGGGATGTTTATAGGATTTTGTATAATATCAGCGTTTCAAATCTCCCATCCTATCCTATCCTTGAATTAAGGATAGGCAGGATGGCTTCAATTTGGAGGATAGGTAGAATAAGAATATAAAAAGAAAATTGAGGATATAATAGGATTTATAGGGTTTGGGATAGGATAAAAGAGAAAAGGATGGTTGAAAAATCGTTATAATTTTTATGATTGAGATTAACAAAACAATAAATACTTTATTTTATTAGTAATTTTTGGTAAAAAGGTAAGTACTTTTTGTTTTGATAGATTTCAATTTTTCGATAAAATATTTCAATCGTAATTTCGCTCAATTGATTTTTTTTTTTTTTGATACATTTAGTGATATTATCTATATATTATGTGATGTCATTTATATCCTTTTATTTAGGATAAGATAAATATCACTTTTTGATAGGATAGGCAGGATGAGGATATTTACAATATCGATAGGATATAGGGCCTTTATCCTGGGTCTAGGATAGGATGGGAGAGGATGAGGATGGGAGATTTGAAACGCTGTTTGTATTGGATAGATAGATAGATGAGTTGATTTGTACAGTGAGGAGGCGGGTGGAATAAACAAATGTATGAATGGATGAATATTGCTGGATGGTGAGCTTGAGGTATGTTTTGATCTCGATCTTGGCCCTAATTACTACTTGGAGAGGAATTATATGAATTAGTAAAGACTAGCTAGGTACTTTCCTTGTAATCAATCTGCCTCGATTCGATTGGGTGGAGTTTATGGGATTGTATTGTAAGTTATTGATGATATTTGTCTGGCTGGTGAGTTTGAGGTTGAGGTTGGGGTTGAGTTTTGAGCTTGGACGTTTCTCAAATGTACGTACAGCAGGACAATCAAGAAACCATAAAACCATACAAGAAAAGAAGTGATTGCAAGTATAGATATATATAAGAAAATCATTAAATATGAAAATTGAAAACTATTAGTGAAAGTTGGTGGATTCTTGGATTAGTTTTAATTACGTGTTCTGATCTTCTGATATTCTATTTCGATTATCATATATACAGTATATACCCCCTCGTTCTTTCCTGATAATTTTTTCACTTCAATGTGGATGATGTGCCATGCATGGATGGTTCACTTGAAATCGAGAGTGAGGTTTCTTGAGTGATTATCTGTTATGGTGGCGGGTTTGTGGTGAAAGAGGGAGGAGGTGTGATTTATTGACTGTAGGTTTTTGAAGCTATTCTCTTATGAGGAGGATAATTGTATTCTGGGATGAGCATTATAATTGTATATATGACGAAGTATCTGAAAGAGGAATATTCGATTTTGGAATGAGTAAGAGGAGTGTGATTCATAGCATGAATGCAAATCTTCATTTACGAAAGGGGATGCGAGGAGAAGTTAATGAATGATACGTCGTTCCTAATCAAAATCACTGATCATAAAGGCGTCTATAGATTCCTTTAAATTCAAACTACTCGGACAACTTAAACGCAAAATAAGATCTCTCTTTAATCTAATTTCATGCTCAGAAGAAGATTATTCGTACTCTATATTATTCATATTGGTATTAGTTTTCTGAATCTCCGCTTCAGGAGCCATCTAATTAGTTGCTTCTACATATGAAGAAAGATAGTTAATTATCATCTGGGCGCTTGCATTCGAGAACGTGAAGTGTACCTTTATCTCTTGTGTTCAGAGAAAGGGACAGGCAATAAATGAATATATTTAGTCAGTGTGATGGAATTTTTCAATCCATAGAGCCTCGTTATCTGCGACTAGTAGAAAAGGCGTTGTATATAGAATCAATGACTTCTGGTCTATAACGGAGAATAGTAATTTGGGTATTTTCACCAGGAAAGCTATAAGATGAATATGCTCCTGCTGTTCGCGACCACCATCGATATCTGTGGTGAGTACAGAATGAAAAGTTCTCAATCGATGCAAAGAAAGGAAATGGAAATCATCCAGATCTCTCACGGAATATTTCATCTTTGTCCCAAGGTTTCTCTGTACTACCAAGTTGTAGACTTAAATTGCAGTACTTACTGCAGTCACGACTTTCAGCCATGTATACATGTATGTGATAGCCCGCCTAATATATGCAGAACTGCTACATGCGTATCATGAATAAACATATATGGACACGCAAGTTCAACATCAATTCCAACAAAAATATTACTATTTCTATTTCTATTTCTATTGTAAATCTTAACCAATCGGATATACTCACATTCATTATCCATGATCTATCATCTTCTTGCTCGAACATCCCATCAACTAGAAAAATTGCTGAAACATTTTCACATGCAATACCAGTCATCTCTTTCTGCATACATCTGCACACATCTGCACAATTTTTCATAGACCCCAACCTCTCATAACCCCTCACATAATCAAATCAAATCAAATCAATCAATTAATCAATCAACAAACAAATCAACAAAAACCCCCATCAATCACATCCCATCATCACATACATCAGCCCGAGGAATGTAACTATAATGCACACACACTCTCAATCATACATACGTATATGTAAGGCACAGTCCCTTAAGTCTCGACAGACATATCGGGTCAGATTTTAGCACTTGCCTTTTTGACAAAAACGATCTCACCAGTTCCTTACCTTCCTTACCTTACCTACCTACCTCATTCAGAAACATGCGAAACGACCAATTGAATAGCATGTATGTATGAGGATGAGGGAAAACATTGGAATCGCGATATATATACCTGTATGGATGTATACCAAGCGCGAAACGGCACAGAGAGTTTCTTGTTTCAGAAATCGATTTTCACATGCTAAGATAAATGAGTCTATAGGAAAATAGCTTGATTGAGTATATGTGTGTTTTGTGGTGATAAAATAAATAAATAAAAGTATAGTAGTTTGTTTGTATCCACCGCTCGTTTTATATCCGCAAAGCCTCGATTATATAGTATTGAGTCAGTGTCATCAATACAACGGCAAGTATCAATAGTAGGTAGGTACTAAGTACTACTCGTACGTACACCAGAGAGGGTAATATATTGTGTTACCCTGGTAGGTATTTTTTTTGAGACTGTATCCATTTCTCTTGAAAACTCTTCAAGATCATTTTTTCTATTAATACTTTTCTGATCGTATCAATTAATATATTTTAAATCTATACAAAAAATCAAAAATTACAAACATACACAGATAAAAAAAAGCAAAGAAAGAAAAAAAAAAAAGAGAAAAATCTGCAAGTTTCAGCCCCCAAGATCACCGCATCCACAAACAAGGAAATATTCCAGAAATATCAGCTTACATTCGCAGTTCTTCCCCAAAATAGGAAGGAGCCATTTCTAGAAACTATCTGTTTGAGAAAAAAGTCATCAGGATTAGGAAATGTAAATCCGATTTCTTGAATCGTAATAGTAATAAAAGAATCCATCGAATTACCTAGGTGAGTTCTGTATGCATATGCAGGAACAGAATAGGCAACACTTAGTACCTACCTATTTACATACCCAGGTACTTGCTTACTTACTTACTTACTTACTAGGTAGGTACTCAACAACCCCCACGAAACGAACAACGCCGTGAAGAGATTTTCTTTTAATTTCTAGAAAGAGGCACAGGCTGATATGAACGAATATATTGCGGCGTGGTCGTCTTACGAGCGTTCTAGATTAGATATGGTCTGTAAGGGGTATACGTACACATAATTGTAACCCTACCTTCCCATCTCTCACCTCTTCTCTTCTCTGACTTTCAATTCCCATACATGCATACTTAACTCTCCGCGATCCCTCCGGAAGGATTCCTAGAATTCTCGCTCTCAATACGACATTGTAACGTTTTTTTATGTAGATAGATAGATAGGAACCTAACCTATATGATGATCATGTCAGCCTTGCATGCATTCTCCGTCATGGAAGGATGCGGCGTATGGTACAGTATATTTTGTTACCACAATCAATCGCACGCACTATCTTTTCTTTTCGCAGATTCGTAGATGAATTATCCTCGAAGGATCCTTTTTCGATGCTATCTTTTCTCCTTTGATGTATGTAAGTCTTATATATAAATTATATGTATCTGGATTTTTGATATCGATGTGACGCTGTGCTTGGGTAATTGATGACATGGAGGGGTTGTTTTGTTTGTGGTGGGGATATATGGGATGAGATGTGTGATCAATTAATCCTTTGATTGGGGGGAAGGAAGGAGTGGATGGGGGAAAATAAGCTCACTGAGATGAGATGAGATATGAATTATTTGTGTGAAGAAAGGATAGGTAATCATTCATTTTCCTGAGATGGAATTTATCGGTGCGGAGTTTAGTCTTCTTTCTCTTTGCTTACCTTACCTTACTCATCTTGCTTTGCTTTGTCTTGACATTGCATTCATCCCAAGTCAAATAAACGTTTCTGAGTAAGGCGTGGAGGCGCGGAAGGAAGAGTACCACGTGGGGTGTTTGAAGCTAAAGAAACCTGTAAAGAAATTTGTAAAGAAACTGTTCCTGATATTCGAATATCGTTCGTTAATGATACTCGTAGAGCGGCATCTAATTTTCCTCAAAGAAGTTTTGTAATCTGGGGATATCTCCATAATGAGACTAGTAGACTAGTAGACTAGTAAAAATAGATTAACCCCGATGTTTATGATATCCTCATGGTGTATGGATGATGTATACTATTCGAGTATCTAAGCTAAACATAATACGTAGGTAACATTTGCTCTGTGTGATTGGAGCTGTTTTGTCCGTGACTATACTGGTGTACTGTATGAAGCTGATTACGCTCTTGGACGCTGTGGCTACCAAGGGAGGTATTGAGGGTTGTATGATATGCTCCGCAGGAGTGACGACATGCTTTGCCCGTCGGCGTTGTTGTCCAAATCCATACTCTTTGCCTGATTGATGCCAACCGTAGGTAGCATACCATAATGAACCATAGGCAACAAATGAATACACTTGGATTTCAGCTTGACTTCCAAGGAGTAATTCTCTTGTATGGGAACAATGACTCCTATTATATACTATGGTTTCTATAGCTATTGCGACTCCGCAATCAACAGATACTTCTACTGTACTTTGCTATTTGAGCTTCCTGCTCATCGTAGAATAAAGAGAACTGAATTTAGGAAGTCATTACTACTGGCAAAAGCTTGCTCAATATCTACCTGACAACCCTAGTGTCAACATCCATATCTTCGACCTGTATGAGCCTCGATTTTGGAAGCCGGCCGTGGTAACCATAGTACCCCTCATCCATAGCCTTGCCATACATGTCTTGCAAGTACAAAATCGGCAATGAAGGTTACCTAAATCTTGACTACGCTGATATGGAATGTGCCTGGAGCAACAGCATATAGCTATAGCATCAAAACAAGTGAACAAACACCATCGAAGGTAACGACCATATGCATTCCTCGCAACACACACATGCACCATAGAATCAGATAAAAAGTATCCCAACCATAGGTACCACAACAAATCAACCAATACGGAACTCCTCTTAAATCCTTCCCTTCCCACAACAACAACGTTAACAACCGTACTTGCAGCACTGGTGTATACCGACCGACCAACGTCATTTACCAAACAAGCATATACGCATCCCACATCGTCCATGCATACGATGAAAGCAACCCGCAACCCGCAACCGAAGAGCAAGAGCAAGAGCAAAAACAAAACCAAAAACAAAACCAAAACCAAAAAAACAGCCATACCGCCATCTCTTTGGATACCGCCAAACCTCACCTCGTGATGGTGCCGCACCATAGATTTCATTCTTCACCGTTCGTTCCCCTCTTTTCAAGGATTGTAAAATTCGGCTCTGCCTTTCCTTCATCATCCACCACCCGCCACCCAGCACCTCTTTCCCAACCTTTCATGTGAAAAGAACAAAAGAAAAGTCTCGTGGAGAGCGACTGACCCATGGTAATTTAACGGTATAGTATATTATACCGGTGTCCTGATCTGGGAATACATCATAGCGTGTAGAGTAAAGCGAGCTCGTAGCGAGTAGCGAGCTTCTGAGGATTATTGAAAAAAAATAAAAATAAGGTGGTGAGGAGGCTATTGCAAATGCAATTGGCAGTTTTTTGGGGTGGTTTCAATTGGAAGAAAAGGCGAGACACGTGTACAAAAATGTTCACCTACTTTCTTACTTTCTTTCTTTCCTTCCTTCATTCTCATATTGCATATTGCATATCATATTGAATGAAACGATTGGTAGCTCTCCAAGCGAGTGGAGAATCGACATTTTCAATGCATAATTAATATTGATAATAACATTAATTATTAGTGATCCATAAATGCATCCATCCATTATTCCATCGCAGTCAGGTTCCCGCAGACCGCATAAACTTCTTCCATACGTCAAACAGAGCATAGCGTCTTCATGCATATGTTCTACCTTAATGTACCAAACTTTGATCGTCCTCCATGTATACCGCATAAACTTCCGCAGCAAATCATAACAATGGATTGTTGTATCATATTTCCCCACCTGATTTGTCTGCGGCATCAACCGCGAATCCGTCCGGTTCATGCGCGAATGAATGCCCTGACAAGCAAATTCTCGCTGTGTATGTACAAGTACTCCGTAGGGACAGAATAAAAAAATTGCAGAGATGGAACATGGGAAATGGTGATGGGGATAGGATAGGATAGAGAAGGAACAAGGTCATGGATGCCGTAATTGAAATTTATTCGTGTGGGACCCTCAGAAAGGCTTCATGAAACATTCTCGAAGGCCCGTCAACAAGGTTCGCGGATACCTGGTGCCTCCAAAATGGTATATCGTCGGAGAACATGTTACACTTTCGGGATGCATATCCGCGGCTGCATCCAAGAGTGGATTTGTTGCGAGCATTCAATTCTGGGTGCTGGTGTTTACGGAGTATGTATGGGTGGGTGGATGCCCATACCACTGGATGGTTATCTGTCTTACGAACTTCCGACGGTTTTTGGTTCTACTTGAGAGACAAGATGGAAATCAATCTTCCCTCTGGAAAGAAGCTGCAGGGTATGATATATGATATGGAGCTCTCAATTAATCGCAAGGCTATCTGATTTGGCGGCGGACGGGCACCCCCATTTATTTGATTACCGGAAGGACAGTAGTGTACCAGAGATTCGACATGAACGGGCATGGGTTACGAAGTATTGGGATGAAAAACCTATTTCGCTCATCTCACGATATCTCTAGAACGTTCGTACCCCTCACAATGGATTTCCAAAAGCTTCTTTCCCAGGGCTTGGGACATCGCCTACGGATCTGATTAACGACTAATTGGTAAGAACTGCCGACAGTCGGACAGTGGTATCAATAAAATCCAGGGCCCATTTTGGTCTTAGATCGACGCTCTTAACCGTTGCGGAGTGATCTTCACATAATTTGTACCTGAATGGGCCCTGAATAACTTCATTATTGCCATTTGCGAATCCACCCTGTTCAAGGAAGCGTCCTGTAGGCGAGTAGATCATAATAATGAGACATGTACCGGTCACATCCCCTCAAGAGAAAAAAGGTAATCTTGTATTGGGACCCTTCTTTGGTCTTACAATTAGAATAGACTTTAAACTAAAGACGATGTTATCGATAATTCAAGCCCAGTCAAGCTTTTTGCCGCGTCTCTCAGGCCATAGAATCGTACAATGAGACATTATACCAGTGGCAAACATATGAAAATGAAAATGCGACTCGAGTACAAACTGTACAAAGCAAGATGTTTGAGACCTTCCTAGTATGTACCTACCTCTTATTCCTTCTAGCCGAACAACGCCGCTCGCCTGCAGCCAGAAAGAAGGTCTCGGGTTTAACGGTGAGAGCCTTGATGAAATAATTTCTAACCCTCAAGGGTAGGGGCAAAAATCCGGGGTTTTGGAATCAGTTCCAGTTCTTCTTCGGCCATTCTTTCCAGCCATCATTAGAATAATAGTGCCGTATCGGTGTGCTCTTTCTCTTTGGAAATTGAAAGATCTCAGTGACCTCGGAATGTAATCAATCCTAGCTCGTAAAGAATGGTTGATTAATTAATTAGGTATCTGAGTGAGGCTTCAAATCGTTGAACTTTGAGCCTGCGGAATAATAGCATTGTCATACTCCATACTCGACTCTCGAGTACCTGCTGCGTGGATCTACAAGAAAATGTCATACTACTTACTAATACATACTATATATACCTTAATATCATTTTTGCGGCCGCCAGATCATCCAGACTAAACCCTCTAGCAGAACCTAAAAAGAGGAGCGTTCCGTGATTTAGTAGAGTGTGCTATACCGGTAGTCTGTAGATAGTCCCTCAACCGGCTTCGGGCTGGTCCCTATAATTCATATTTGATATGACCCAAAGGTTGCGCCAGCAAAAGCCATCGCTGGTAGTGTAAAGTTCGTAGCATTTCATTCCCGGTTCCCGTCCCGCTGGGACATGTACGGAGTATGATCTGACAAACGTCTTTTTCCTCGCATCAAGCCATCCGCCGACAAACTGACTCGGATCGCCAGGAAAGCCACTCCACATAAATCGATGGTATCGTGATCTTTGACCTGCGCTCTTCCAATAGTGACGCTGGTCAAGGTCAAGATTGCACGAACGAGGGCATTAGGAATTCGAGATCCGGGACCCGCGAGTGGGCCCCTGTGTAGATTTCGATTGGAATTGAACCAAAGAATAATGGCCAGTCCAACAAAGTCTCGCCAGCCAGCAGCCAAGCTAGGGTTTGGGGCTCTAGGAAAGAATCCCCGCTGAGTAGGCCGTCTGGCGTGATATGGTAGCATGCTCCACATGTACCATTTTCGCACTGGCATTACCACGGGAACAAGCGAGGGAACTTCAGATGACACCGGTAAATCATAAATGGGATGGACAGAAAAATTGGGACAAAAACTTATCAATGAAGTAAGGGCTTTGGACTCTTTTTTTTCTTTGATTTTCTGGGAATGAATGGTATTCTACATAGGTACAGATTGATAGGTTCATGTTGTTGCTTGTTATTTGATGCAAGAATAAATAAATGAGGATTCAATACATGCATTTGTCGAGGTCGAGATCCCCCCAACTTTTCATCACCGTCAAGCATTTTGCGTACCTGCATTGTTCCTGCAGTAGCAATCAGCAGGTTTGGATGGGGGTGGGTGGGCATACGTAAAGTAACGTAATGAATGTAATGAAGGCATTCATTGCCCGATTGGTGAAATAATTAAAAATGGGTTAGAGCAGGTATGGATATAGGAAAAATATCATGACCGACCGACCGACCGATTGATAAGAAAAGTTAAACCGAGTTGGATATTAACGGAAAGCCATCAGAATGGGCCACCCACTCAGAATCCCTACCACTCTTTCACCGCGACCGTGAACTTACCGGGACGAGGGACGAGAGACCAGGGCTCAAGGACTCAGGACTTCAAGGGAAGGCAGCAAGGGAAGGGAGGGCTCCCTAGTCAAGTTCATATCGCAACGTATTTTGCTTCTGGAAGTCCACCGAAGAAGACTTTCCTGTGGCTTGAGAGAAATGGGATGCTAATAGCCTAACACTATAGATTTTCGATGGATTCTATGCTATAAATCCATGTCCAGCGACTCGTACGGATTCGGTACGAAGGTAATCCAGAAATGCTACCCCATTATGCAGGCCTCGGCCAAATCAGTATACTCCACCACACCCAAATTTGTAGCTACACTTGCACCAGCCCCAACCCAGGTAAGAAAAGAAAGCATAAAAATATCACCATACCGTACATATACATACATAAAATATTCATTACCTAGGGACCTTGGGAAGCCTCATTATAATCGACCAAAAGCAGCAAGGGAAATCCCAAATCCAAACAGGAAAATCATTCTACTCCGCGCTATGAGACTCGCGAGCTCTAATGAAAAGAGCGCTCTATGTTTAGATATCGCCACGGACAAAACTTGCATTAGATGAAATTGATGCGGAGTACCACTTTTACGCAACATGCAATATGCCAGTTGGAAACATGATGCTGAGGTGATTGATGGATGTGATGATGATGGTCGCGCAGCCACTAATAAATCATATGCACTCACTCAGTGTACACTCACTGTACCGATATTCATTCTTTTTGGGAATGTTACTCAGGAACAAAATGTTAAGCTGCATAAGCTAAACAGCTTCAAGTGTCAAAGCACATACATAAGCAGCTGGATTCTACTGTATATTGCATATGATAGGCATATTCTACCTACCACCGAGTATATCTAATCATCCCATTTTGAGTTCTCGAATCTTATGTCTGGTTCTTAATTGTGACGATAGAAAGCTTCATTGACAGGCCGTTAGAATTGGGCGAAGCGCTGAGCGCTGTGCAAAAAAAAAACAATACGTGCATTCATTTTTATGCAACCATCTTCCTTCCAGGCGCTAGATAGATCGGCGAGTTCATCCTATCGTAATGATTATCACCTTATCGATTAGGTGAAGGAGTGGATAAGTAGAAAGAGTGCCCGGTCATATGAGGTCAGATTTATATATATACAATCTTCAAATGATCATGTTGGAGAGTCTGAGTGGTCGATTCCGTCAAAGGAAGTGTGTCCATTCAAGGTTCTTCCCGATGCGAGCCATAGCCCAAAACGCGGCCTAATCGTTCGCATGATAATACATGATGATGAATGATGAACTTTTAGATCATCGCAAATGCCGGCGTTTAGGGAATCACTAAGATGGTTTTATGTTTAGCTCGTATCAACAATTTGTTTGACTTTTGCTTTTTTCTCAAGCGTGTTCAGAATCATATGAGAGACAGTGTTTCCATTGCGAGTTCCAAGAGTGCGGCTGGAAACTTTCTTTGAGAATTCAAAATCTCAAATCAAGTAGGTAGGCTTTTGCGCAAACTTTGTTGCGGGAATGAATGTATCAGTGTTAGTATTTTGGGAACTTGAGACCATTGAGTAAGCCTTTACATTGCAACTTTAAAAAATCTCTGAATAGTGACTTGTCAGCGTAAGCCAGGACGACTAATCGAATGGATTGATTTGGATTTTCTGACATATCTCACGGGAGGCGGGGAGACTGTCTGACCTTACCCCGATAATCAAAAAGCAGGAGAGAAGAAAAATGGGTGTTTCATATTTTTTTTCTTCTTTCTTCTCCCCCACAATTGACGATGATGGTCGGTCGACCTCTGCAGTAGACGCGGGGCAAAGCGCTCTTGGGGTTGGAGGAAGCTGAAGGAGGGCTAAACCCAAGGATCATCCTACTATCGATAGGATACCTAGATGGAAAAGTTTTTTGGATCTTGGGGGGCGTCATGGGTAGGAAGGAAGGAAGGAAGGATGAATGCATATTGGATGCATACGATATCATCTCAGGTACGTCGGGCGAATTATCAGTATTCGATGGGAGCTGTAAGCTGCGCA